CCCGTCCCCGCCCCGGGGCAAAATTCCCCGCCCCGTTACCCGTTTAAGCGGGTTTTCCCCGCCCCATTCGGGGCGGGGCCCGACACACGTATACAAGAAGATATTTCTTTCGTTCCATAAATGTAGACTTGATTTTCTTTTTTGTCTGTTTTAAATTGTAGATCTTTTTTAATTATAATGTGTCCATATATAATGTATCTTGTTATCAATAAATATAAATTAATTATATTTAAATAATTATTTAATGTAGGGGTATATTAGAAAAAATATATATTTTTAATTATAGTAAGGGTAATTATATTCATACAATATTTTTTGTTTCTTGCACGACATTTTAATTGCATCTAAGGTTTTTAATATTTGCTCATTATAACACTTATGTTCCCAACAAATTTTCTTGTCATTTTTATCCTCTAACTTTTCATTAGTTAACACATTTTGTATTGACAAATGGTTTTATATTCAAAAATTCGTTGAAATGACTTAAAACAACTTATTTTTTCAACATATTTTAAAAATAGAAAAATAAAAAGTGGGAAAAATATGTTTCCCTCATTTTAAAGCATGAAAATAAAATATTTGCTATAAAACGTATTAATTAATGATAGGTTGAAGAATTATATGTTTGTGTTAACGAAGGAAGGTAGGAAATCCACGTACCACGTCTTGTGTGATTTAGATTGATTAATTTTAATTAATTTAAGAGATTAATTAAGGGATGTAGATTACCTGTTAAGTTGAGAATGAAAATTTGATGGAAAAAAATTTAGAGGCATAAATGTAAGAATGAGTAAAGGTCATGGACTTATTATTCAATTACCAAAAAAATTTGTGCACAGCTACAACACACTATTGGAGTTCGTAAGAAACACTTGCAAATCCATTTCAATTCAAAATCTCTCGCAAGGAATTGCTCTAAGATAAACCCCATATCAAGAGAGATTCATAAAGGAAATGGAAAGGCTTTGTGAATTTAAATTTTAAATACAACATATCTTAGGCGTGCATGAGCCTGAATAATCTATGCACGTGTAAACATATAACTTTGTAAATCGCTTCCGAGCATTACACATCCATTAACCAATTTTCGACTTTTGAAAGTTCTATAAAACTAAAAACACCATGATGAAATTGCTTTAGACATCAAGTTTTGTAGACGCGTGCTCAAATTAGATTTACGTACTAGATAGGCCGCATGTAGAAATCACGATGCATCGACTCAAAAATATGTACTGCAACAAAGTCGTCCACACAACGCATCTCCCAAGCAATAGGGAAAGAAACCTCAACCCCTGAATGAAATTCCTTGCAAATTTTCAAGTTAGAAAGAGAGACTCACAATCCTCAATTATTTGCGGAAAATCCTTCACGGGAAGATCAGAAGTGGCTTATGTCGTCGCTCTGCTCCGGCATCGACCATTTTGATCCAATAATCTTGTGTTCCACTTTATATGAGTCACATATACAACATAGGATTTTATTAATTTTAGTAGGACTCTATCAAACCATAATAACAATAACTCCATGTTTGAGTCTCTCTTTTTATGAAATAGATTTTGTAAAAACTTATTTTTAAAAAAAATATATTTAGCTGAAAAATATGAATTTTTATTTGATTTATGTGCAAAATTATTTTATTGGGAGAATGTATGATTAAAAAAAAATTCACAAATTTTATTCTAAAAAATTACTACTTCCATGTTTTCAACTTTTTTTTTTTTTTTTAAGAAACCCATGTTTGGTTCTCATTTTTTAAAATTTATTTTTCTACAAACTCATTTTCAACTAAACAATCTTCCAATAAAATGATTTTACATGTAGACACATAATTTTTCCCTACTTTTTAACAACGAATTCTCCAAAAAATCATTTTTTGCAAAATTTATTCTGAAAAATTACAATAACACAGGACTAGAACAACATGACCTCCCGAGTTCAACAAATGCCAGTACTCTCTCTAATAGCAAAAAGAAACAAGCTGTAGAATATTAGATTTTGCTGGGGGTGTGAAAGGATAATATTGAAATACAAAGGTAGTATGTACATATTTACTGTCCCACCAACCACCAAATTAACAAGAGAGAGAACCCACTCTCCAACGTTGAGAAAGTTAAAGTGTAAATTTGCATTTGGACCTTACTTTTTTTTGTTTATGGTGCAAGAAATAATTACGAATCTCATAAAAATACTATAAAAAGTTTTAAGGGTGTTGCTACTTTAAGGCTTAGCCCATGTGGTTTTCTAGTAATGCAATAAATAAGAGACGTGTGTTAAAGGATATTATTTTTTATTCTCGCTGCAATAATGCATATGCCTTTACAAATCGAAGAAAATTGAACGTTGCCACATGTACACTCCCCCTACACAGTACACAGAGGGCCTACAAATTTTTTATTCATGGTGAGGCCTCCCCACATGTGAGGGGGTTGTACATCATGTTGTATGGCATAGTGTACAACCATCATTTTTCAAGAAAATTTTACTGCTTGTTTGATAGTATTTTCAAATATTTGTAAGTTGTGGATTTTACACGTAGGTAACAAGTTGTGAATATTAATGTGTGGATAAGCCTCCTGATTAAGCCCCCTCCCCGCCACACCCCACACACAATTATTTAGTACTACCACTTGTGTTTATGGAATTAAACACTTCGAAAAAAAATAACTTGAAACATAATCTTATGTACGATCAAAGTACATAGGCAAGTAGCTTTCTGCCTAATAATTACGGTACTCGACCTAGTTAAAGAATGGAATATGGTTGGTCAAGCAATTAAAGCGATAAAAAAGTGACGACATAATGAAAAAGATGAACACAACCATTAGCAGCCTAGCTAAGATAACTTTTGTGTACACACATAAAATATTCAGCAAAGTAGGCATTGTTATGGGGTAACATGAGTTGTGGATAATTTGGTTGAAGACAACATTCTTAACCTTATAAGGCTACCACTAGACAGCAATTGATTTTTTTAAGGTAGCAGATAATGTTTTTAGAAGATCTAATTAGATTGCTAAATATGTTACTTTAGCTGTAAAGCACTTCTTAATTAATCAAATGGACTTTGTTAGATATTGCAATCAGACAACTTGTTACTAAGATCTTCATAAACAAACGGTATCTTGGATTCTCAAGGGACCATTTTGAGACGTAATACCCAAGAATGCAATAAAAAAAGACAGATTTCAACTAATGGATAAGTTGAGATCTGATGGATAAGTTGAGAAAAAGGCATTTTAGTCCTATGTGAAGTTTGTGACAGCTGAAATTCTGCAAGCATCGTTGTTCTTTAGAACGAAAACCCCTCTGGGCCGTGCTGGTTCTTGTATGGAACTAACCCGAGCTTTTCTGATTGAGCTCGGGCGCACTCCAATACCGTCTTCGACACGGACAAAAACTTGTTTGCAAACTTTTTGAAATGCAATGCAAAGAATTGGAACCAGGAGTAGGAGTCCCTCAAGTGTCCTCTTTGGGACTTTCACATTTAAAAAAGTAACAGCAACATACTAGAAATTCCATTTTTTTTTTCTTTTTCTCTGTCACCGTAAAGAGGGAACTTCCTCTTCCCTTCTTAGGCTCCGTACCGCCGACTCGTTCTGTGCTATCAAGATAGTGGGTTGGGCCCATGTTTAATCGGGAAGCTTAGTGGAGGATCCAAATGCAGATATAGGAAAATCAATTATAAGAAGGCTTCAAAGCTTAGAATCTTTTCACGATATCAAGATCAGTTTGAAAATAAAGATTTTAGGTCATTTAATACTCCAAAAGTTGATCCAACCTTTTAACTTTATCCCTCTATATATTCCCCCATGTGCAACCACCTCCACATAAATTATCTTCAACAATTCATCACACTCAACAAAGGGAAAAAAATGGCTACCCCTTCCATTTACTCACATTCATCTGTTGTCATTCACTCAAGAAGATTGTTACTTGACACTCCTCTTTATAGTTCCCCACCATTATTATCAACCGTAGCAGCAGTTTCCCCGTCCAGTATGGAGCCTAGGGACAATTCATTCGATGCAAATATTGTTATGATCTTATCAGTCCTCTTGTGTGCTTTAATTTGTTCACTTGGATTGAATTTCATCATAAAATGTGCACTGAGGTGCTCGAGTTTAGGGTCCTCTGATGATACCTCGTCTGCACGCCTAGCCAACACAGGAATAAAGAAAAAGGCCCTCAAAACATTCCCTATAATAAGTTACACCAGTGATCTCAACCTTCCAGGTCTGAACACTGAGTGTGCAATATGCCTCTCAGATTTTGCTACAGGAGAACGCGTTCGAGTCCTGCCTAAGTGCAACCATGGGTTCCATGTCAGATGTATCGACAAATGGCTGAATTCACACTCCTCTTGCCCTACATGTAGGCACTGCCTAATTGAAACTTGTCAAAAATTAGTAAAATGCAACCAGGTCAGTCCATCAGCACCAGAAATCCTACCACCCCAAGAAGTTCTTATATGGATTGCACCTTTACAACAAGAAGGTTTAGTACGAAATCATCAAATTTAGGAGGTTAAGTTTTTCTTCTTGTTGTTTGCTTATATCTAACTTTTTTTAACAGACAAGTAGGGTAGTACCGTAATGGGATGAAATTGGCAACATTTTGCACTGAGTTTGGACTGAGGCAATTCAGTTTATGGCCTTCAGAAATTAGTGTTGCAAACTGTATATAAAATAGTTTATAAAATTTTCATTTTTTCCTAAATTCTTGAAACTTTAGCAAGTTGATAAAACACGAATTATTGAGACCACTGTACCAAAGTCTCGTCAAACACTTCAGGGCATGTTTTTGGTCTGCTTCAAGAAATAGAAGAAGAAATATGAAAGAGATATAAAGGTCATGACAGGTCACTAGAAATATACAAGTCAATAAAAAGTAAAATATTATCATGGTGGTAAGCCAAGGCAAAAAATAAAATTATGTGTAGGTTATGCAAAATAGAACATAAAAAAGCAATTAATACAATTGATTGGCATTACCAACCTTGCATGCCAAAATTCTCACAAGGTGATTAAGTACTACATATCATGTTACTTCTCGACGGAATTTCTTCTCAATCTATGCCCCGTTTATCATCCTTTAAAATTTTCGGGGCCCGTTTGATAGGCAAATGTGAAAAGGAATTCCAATTCCATATTAGTAAGAAAATAAAAACTCACCAAACTCATAGAAATTCGTTTTCCATGAAAACAAAGAAAATACAGCTTAAAGTGGTTGTAACTTGGAATTCGGTTTCCATTTCCACGTTACAATCAAACGGCCAAAGTGAAATTCATTTTCCTTGGATGTGACAGTTTCCATAGAAAAGCTTGCAATCAAACATGACCTTAAATTATTTGATACAGTACCATTCTCCACCACACATTTACACAATAAAATATTCTACACACAAACCAATAAAGCTTCCTCACTCATTAACCACACATTTTCCAACAATCTACTTTTCTATAATACATTACAAGAAATTAATGGCTCTCGAACAGGGTATACGTGTCCATTTTGACATCGTAAAGATGAGAAATAATATCTAGCTTAAATTTGTCGGGGTGGGAGATGTCAGTTTGGGTACTAACATCGCATGTAAGCTTCTAATGAAGAATAAGTTACATATTCTCGAATGTTTCCTTAATTTAATCTCTACGGGTATCCTTAATGGTGAGGTCTGTTGGATGACAAAAATGCCGCTCTTAAACCATTGGATTGGGTTGTTCAAAATATCATAAAATGATTAGTCTATCCTTACTGGACACAAAATGATTTTCAGATGATTAAAGTGACTTTAAGCCCTTGTTTGGTGCACATTTTGAAAGTAAGAATGCATTTTTACTGTTGATGTGATGAGGAATATGTGGTTGAAAAGGAAGGAAAAGTTATTGATGTGATGGAAAATATTATTTTATTAAAAAATGTGTGGTCAAAAATGAGTAGAAGAATGAGAGGCTCAAACAGGGGCTAAGTGGGCTTAACAATGATACATTTATATTTGGATATAAATTTATAAATGGTTAATAAATTCGGTCAAAATCAAAAATTAATTTTTGCCGCGTATTATTATTCATTATTATTGACATGTTTCGTTAGACTCGCTATTATTTCTTTTTGTAAACTTGCCAAACAAAGGTTCAAAAGAGAAGAAAATGATCGATTTTTTGGGTAAAATTTGTAAAATTTGGAGAGCGATTAAGAGATAAAGAACCAAACAATGACAGCATGGCTCTTTTCTATAGAAAGTGTTTCCTCATAAAGTTAGTGCATTTTGATTGATATTTACCACGCAGAAAATTACATGGATAACAATGGAGAAATAGTCATGTTACACGTACATCATCTTTTACATCATTATTTATATTGTATCACATGACGGCACATCATGGACGTTTAAAATAAAATTCCCGCCGACAATTTTTTGAAAACATGGGTGATGTCAAACTAAGTGTACATCGAAGAATGTACACTTAACGTTATTGATGGAGAAATATCGAATGAAAATACATTAATATTCCTTGTATCGATCAAATTAAGTTAGGGATCGATTGACATGATTTTTACCTTTGATTTTGCTTTCGTTTTCTGTAAAAAAAGCTTTTGAAGTAAGTTACTTTAATTTGTGTATGAAAACTAATTTTTAAAAGCATTTCTTATTTCAGAAGTATTTTTAGAGGAAATCATATTGGATCAGATTTCTTTAAAAAATCATCTTAGAAGAAGTACTTTTATAAAATTAATCAAACAAATCCAAAAGTTGCTATTTAATCTCAAAAACTCATTTTGATTTTTCAAAAATCATGTCTAACGACCTTTAATCAAATGCTATAGAATCACTTTAAGAGGAACGTTTCTTTCTTTTTTATTATCTTTCAACAAGTATTCGAGCATGCTTGTTCAAGTGTACTCAACATATTGGACTAGTTAACCAAATTCTATCAGATCAAGCCCTTGTTTGGTTTTCATTATTTTTAAAATATATTTTTTTCTCTCTTATTTTCAATTAATCATTTTTCAATAAAATAATATTACATTTAAGCACAAAAATGTTCCTTTTTTTTAATCACAAATTCTCCATCAAATCACTATTTGAAAATACATTTTTGTAAAAAAAAATGGGGCTGGGATATGCTTCAATTAAGACATTTTTTAAAAGGTTTGACCAGTAAAGTTTTCATAAATTCGGTGGTGCTAAGACGTGAAAGTAAAACATTTGCTTAAAAAGGTACTTACAGAATTGCCACTTCTGGAAATTTGTTGAAATACGATTGGACAATATTGATTAAGAAATAAGTTAAAATCTTTTTTCAGTCCNTTAAGAAATAAGTTAAAATCTTTTTTCAGTCCGTAAGTACTATATTTACTAGAGATTGCACATGTGATTTTAAATGCTTGAGAAGTGGTCAAAGTCCCTCCCACTTGTGTATCTTGGTGTTGATCAGTTGCAATCTCAATGCCTTGCATTTCCATACAATTAGGGTCCGTTCGATTACGAGCATCGAATTTGTATAGAATGAAAATAAATTATAAGCAATGAACTTATTTGTATTTAAATTATTAATTAAATGCATTTAATTGATTTAGAGCATGTTTGAGCCCCATCTTTTGACAAAAATACATTTACGAATAGTGATTTGATGGAGAATGCGTGGTTAAAAAATAAAGAAAATTTTTGGGTTTGAGTGTAATAATATTTTATTGAAAAATATGTAGTAGAAAAAAAATAGAAAAATGTATTTTGAAAATAATGAGGATCAAACAAGGACTTAATTTTCAACTTAGAAAAAATATTATACTTGTCCATTTTTTATTGAAGAGTGGATGAGAGAGAGAGAGAGAGAGAGAGTAAATTATTTGAAAAACCACCACTCTCTAAAGAAAATGTTTTCTTTATTTTTTAGGAAAATATAGTCACGTAAGCAAAAGTTAGAAAATATTTTTCATGGAAAAAAATTGTCAATCAAACATCTCAAAAGTAAGAATTTAGGTGAAAAAATAACATTTAGAAATTTGGGTGGAAAATTACATTTTTCATGAAAAATAATATCAATCAAACACACTATTATTAAGTAGTCTTGGGAAAATTTTGTAGGCTTATGTGATTGAAGTGCATATTCTTTGCCAATTGCAACGAGTACAACCTACAACAAATCTTAAGTCCTTGTTTGATCTATATTCTTTAAAATTCATTTTTAATCGCACATTCTATCAATGAAATAATTTTGAACGTGGACCTATGACTTTTACGTACTTTTCTAAAAAATCTCTACCAAAGAGGACTTGGAGCATTCTTTTTATCTAGTTTCAAATGGGATATCACTAGATGAACTCAATCGTAACGTTGAATGGTGGGTAAAATCAATATCAAGCAAGTTTTTGCACCAAAATCTTTTTCTTCTTGCCAAAAAAGTAAATTGCAATATTGCATGAACAAGTAAACTAGCGTGAACTCTTATTTATCTGAATGTAAAATTTAAAGAATCATCATACATGTACATCACTTTTTACCTCACATTTTACATTGTGTCACTTGACAACATGTTATTGGACAATTTAAAAAAATAAACAATTTTTTCACCAATCAAATCATGCCAACTTAGATGATGTCAAGAGTGAGGTACACTTTTAATGTAAAAATGTCTAAACCCAAATTTAAATGATAAATGAAACATCTAGAAGTACTTCTTTGTTGAAGAAAAACAAACAGTACAAATAGAAATGAATAATGTACTGGAAAATCCACATATTAAATTATTGAGCAAAGCAAGAAGATCACAATATTTTAAACATATTGAAAAAGAAAATGATTGCGTTTCAAAATGTGATAAAGTTGTGGGAAATGTTGGTAAGGCAGCACTTTTAGAATATGTTTAGATGAGTGCACACTCTGATCAAAAAATATTTTTGATAAACTATTTTTTTTCTATATGTTTCATAGAACTCACATCTCAATCACGCATTTACCCATATTTATAAACACCTCGCTAGACATAGTTTTTGGTTGCGTCAAGGTGATATATAAAAGTCAATCCTAGTTGGCATTACTATGTGTATCGTCAAATTTCAATAAATAATGCCCATTGTCGGAACTATCAAATTCATCTTTTTAAAAAAAGAAAAGAAACGGAAAGGAAAAGATATATAATTCCTATAAAACTATACATTCATCAATCCGAATTAGATTCTATCAATCTAGTTGATATAGGACTTTTGTCAACTTAATCCAAATAGACCTCGATCACATGAAACTCTTGTAAGGTACGTTAGTCCCCCTCCTTGCATTGTACTTGTTTTCATTTAATAAAATTCATATCCTAAGGCTTGGATTTTCAAGTTAGGATATTTGACCAAAAAAAAAACATGAAACTCTTGTAAACCAGAAATATAGGCTTTTGTAAGCTTGTTGATTCCCTCAATGATTGGTAAATATCTTATACGAAGATAGTATTGATCTAACGGATAAAAGCTATAATAAGACAATATGGAACATATTCCATCATAATTGTGACAACATTGACACAAA